TAAAATTTCGGCTTTTATAATCCTTACGACTGGTGTCCTACAACAGCCCTTTAGCTCTCATTTAATCCAAAAAGGGGTAAATAACTTCCGAAAAGAGCTCCAGGTTTCTGGTGTGTCAGAGTGGGTTGGTGTTCATGTTCGTCAAATGAATGTTTATCTGAATTATTTATAAACATTTAAAGAGGCATCATTGTTCGATGCAATATATCTTTGTATTCAATCATTAATTTTGTTTTTATCATGATATATAAACATATTTTAAGATTTTAAGTAATGAGTTTACCAGTAATTATATTATAGTTTTTGTTTCAACAATATCCTTCAGTTCTAGGCAGGGATGAAATACTGACATAGCGTTTTCGCACTGCCGAAGAATTTTCATCTCGGATCCATTGACAGCTAGGGAAGCATCCAGTTCTGTAAAGGGATCCCTGGACAGAATAGATTAATGTGACTGGCCCTTTACCAAAGTAAGATGGAAATCTCTATTTTCCTCTATCTCTGTGCATCGCTCTCAACATTAGTTAACTAAAGTTGACCATTCACAGCCTAAATCCATCTGGTTGATTCTTGGTAATTTTTCAGAATACTTCTGCATAACAGATCGTGACAATTATGGTAGTGATGAATTCGTCACTCTTTACTATCCAGATATATCAAATTTATGCAGCAGACTCCCCAGCACCCCCCACCCGATTAGGCAATTATGGCCCTGATAGCAGGGCAGGGCATGAAAGGTATCATAGAAATTACGAGGTAAAATATGAATAACATACAGAATCAGTCACAATTTTGTCTAATGTAGGGGACTGTACCTCCTGCAACCCCCTCCTAGGTGGCTGTTGTCCCTAATCGTCACAATGGAAGGCAAAGAATCCTCCACATATTCACAGCAGGGTAGGGCATACATCTGACATGCGGGAACACCCAATTCCAAGTCTGTCCGATGCTCTCTGTTGCTGTAAATGCGTGGAGGATTTTTTGTTTTCCTGGGCAGGGATTGGGGGCTTATAATCCACAGTTTAGTGAGGTATAGTCATTAAGTTATGTTACTGTTAGTTTAGCCTGCAATTTCCCTGGTACCTTCAGTGCCCTCCCCAGCTATTGGAGCCAAGTATAATTCCTACATATATGTGTACTAGAGGGTGAGAGTAGTCCACCAATACCAAAATCATTGCAATTGGTTATGTGAAGGTATTGTGAACAGTCTATGTTGCTGCCAATGGGTGTACCCTTCAGGCACTACCTGAGGGAAGGGTTGATGAGGATGGCTCTACTATTTTTTAAATTTTCATGAAAACTAATATAGTTCACATTGAGCTCCTCTACTTTAACAAAATTGGAAATAATGCCTAGAAGGGGATTATAGGTGAACACAGTATTTTTCTAATGACTTTTCTACATACTCTCTTAAGTTCAAAATTCATTCCTGTTGCAAATGAAATATAGTTAATATAGTGGTCCCCAGTAGTTGGGGAAAGCCAAAGTACTTGCTAAATTGTGAGGTATGATGATGTGACCATCACATCATAAAAAAATTTGGCTTAAGGTGCAGCTGATGTGAACATGCTGTCATTGGGAAGATTTGGCTGTGGGCCAGGGTGCTGTATGTGGATGGCATGCCCATAGTGATTCCTTGATTTTGGAAATATTCTATTGAATTCTGTATTTCTACATGTATATATTGTTAATAACATTGTGTTGATTATGATATCAGTAATAGGAAGAACAGAGTACTAATACTCAAGGAATAGGAAAATCAGGGGAGGTCATGTAGACTGCTAATTAACTCCTTTGTGACTGAGCACTTGAGATCTTTGTGTAGACAAGTTTCACAAAATGATACTACAGTGAACATTACAATTTCCTAGCTGCATTGGGTTAATAGTAAATAGCATGGCACAGTGTCAAGACATTTGTATCATACATATCTGTTGGTGCTCTGGCAAAAGGCCAACAAACCTTTAGTTAATACATATATTTTGGCAGGAAAGGGACTAACTTCTTGGCCATATAGTATTGAATAAGGAGCCAGTTTGACATTTTCATGAGTTACCACCTCCCATTAGGATTTGCATATATACTAAGTAATTGTTAGAGTGATTTTAGCATGTTTTTTTTTCATTATTCTATTGAATTCTATATTTCTACATGAATATATTGTTAATAACATTGTGTTGATTATGATATCAGTAATAGGAAGAACCGCATCAATATTAATAACATTAGAAAAAAAAAACTGTAATACTCAAGGGTATTAGGATATTTTTAAATTATATTTTAAGCCCTACCCAGCTTGCCAGACCATTATCATTAGTTTTGGTGATTGAAACCATAACTGAGAGAGAGGGATTTGAGATGTGAGAGAGAGAGGGAGGGGAGAGGGACGAGAGAGAGGGGAGAGGGGCGAGGGGCAAGAGAGAGGGGAGAGGGGCGAGGGGCAAGAGAGAGGGGAGAGGGGCAAGAAAGAGGGGGAGAGGGGAGGGGGCGAGGGCAAGAGAGAGGGGAGGGGGCGAGGGGCAAGAAAGAGGGGAGAGGGGGCGAGGGGCAAGAGAGAGGGGAGAGGGGAAGGGGCAAGGGGCAAGAAAGAGGGGCGAGGGGCAAGAGAGAGGCGAGAGGAGCGAGGGGCAAGAGAGAGGGGAGAGGGGCAAGAGAGGGCGAGGGGCACGGAGAGAGAGGGAGAGGGGCGAGGGGGCAAGAGAGAGGGGAGAGGGGCAAGAAAGAGGGGAGAGGGGAGGGGCGAGGGGCAAGAGAGAGGGGAGGGGGCGAGGGGCAAGAAAGAGGGGAGAGGGGCGAGGGGCAAGAGAGAGGGGAGAGGGGAAGGGGCAAGGGGCAAGAAAGAGGGGCGAGGGGCAAGAGAGAGGCGAGAGGAGCGAGGGGCAAGAGAGAGGGAGAGGGGCAAGAGAGAGGGGCGAGGGGCAAGAAAGAGGGAGAGGGGCAAGAGAGAGGGGAGAGGGGTGAGGGCAAGAGAGAGGGGAGAGGGGCAAGAGAGAGGGGCGAGGGGCAAGAAAGAGGGGAGAGGGGCAAGGGGCAAGAAAGAGGGCGAGGGGCAAGAAAGAGGGGAGAGGGGCAAGAGAGAGGGGAGAGGGGTGAGGGGCAAGAGAGAGGGGAGAGGGGCAAGAGAGAGGGGCGAGGGGCAAGAAAGAGGGGAGAGGGGCAAGGGGCAAGAAAGAGGGGAGAGGGGCAAGGGGCAAGAAAGAGGGGAGAGGGGTGAGGGGCGAGAGAGAGGAGAGAGGGGAGAGGGAGGCAAGAAAGCAAAAGGGGAGAGGGGGTGAGAGAGAGAAGTGAGGGGAGAGGGGGCGAGAGAGAGGAGTGAGGGGAGAGGGGAATGGGGAGAAGGGGTGAGAGAGAGGGGAGAGGGGGCAAGAGAGAAGGAAATGGGGAGAAGGGGTGACAGAGAGAAGGGAGAGGGGAGAGGCAGGAACAAAACCAGGACCTGCTTGTATGTGATTGGCTGAGGGTAGCAAAGGGGTACAATAAGATGGGAAAATGCAGTGATTTTGTGGAGGTGTAGCTGGAAGAAACTTGCTAAACATGTCTGCACATTCCCTGCTTTCCATTGACAGAGAAAAATATATGGGAAAATTGCCAACCAGTTTTTGAGAGGTTCTGCTCTTCCTATGGCCATTTGGATTGATCATAGCTAAATGGACTTTAGGAGTTAATGGGTTTATATTGAAAGAGGTCCTTGTTGAATCTCTCAAGGATTTAATGTTCCAGTCTTTTAACAGTTTTTTTTATAAGCTGTCAATCACTTTTTTTTTTTAGTATTATTGGTAAACAGGAAAGAAATATGAAACATTTATCTATGACCATCTTTTGAAATGGCAGGTTTGATAAATCTAATTTCTCTTCTTGAATTTACACCCAATTAGATCTGACATTGTTTCTTTTCAGGTATCCTTTGACAAATTACACATTTGGCACAAAGGATCCGTTATTTGAAAAGGACCCCAGTGTCCCTGCCCGTTTCCAGCGCATGCGAGAGGAGTTTGACAAGATTGGCATGAGGAGGAGCGTGGAAGCGGTACTTCTTGTCCATGAACATGGCCTCCCTCATGTGCTGCTCTTGCAACTGGGCACAACCTTCTTTAAATTGTAAGTTTGGATTTGCTATTCTTTCCTGTTTTTCTGTGTCTTTGTTTTTAATGTAAGTGATACTTAATTACTTTTTCCACTTCAGTTCATACTTTAGAGGGATATCATTTGACTTGTTCTATACTGAAATTAATTTGTAGGCACAGTACATGCATACCTTAAATCTAAACTCATAATAGAGTGTGACTCCCAGCCCCCCCTCTCTCTTTTTCTTGCATACCTAAAACATGATTGCTTTCACAACTCGGCAGTTGCAATGATGATAATGCATGTCTAGATGTAGTAAATAAATTACTATCTGGCAATTTTGGTTAATGTTACGCTGCATATTCTAGGTTATCAGCTTCAGTTATTATTTTATAGATCTTATGATTCTCACTTGCTTGGCTCAAAAGTTTGCTTCCATCAAACTCTAGCTGTGAATGTAAACTGAGCAAGACTTCACTATAGTGATGCATCCTACTCAAAGCATTGTAGGCTTCACCAGCTGTACCACCTATATTACTAGTATTTCTATTGCCTACATAAGATTCAGAAGTGGCTTTGGTTGCGAGAGGCCTTCATAAGGATAAGACTGTCAAATAGGAATCATGTGATAATGACAGACAGTGTTCAGATCCTTGAACTCCCACCTCAGTATCACAGTGTATGGTAGGTGGCAGTCTGTGACTAAGGGTGTATGGCTGGATGATGAAGTGGTTACATGGAAGAAAGGCATTTTTCTGTTATTTCCAGTTATTCTATTTTATCGGTTTCCTTCTTTCTTTTGAAAATTATATGCAGAACAGTTATCCAAATTGATTCCATTTTTTGTAAATTTTACTCAAGTCCTGTCAAAAACAAATCTTATATAACCCAAATAGTACCAGATGCTGAGTGGTACCTCAATGCTGGTGTGAACCCATGTCTTGATTACTGGAATGAGGTCTCACATCCCCAACTGTGAGCTTATCAGTTGCCCATACATAGAGTGGCATGCATGAGTACACACATTTTCAATAGACTATATTGAAAAATTGACTTGTTTTTCGGTAAATCCATTACATAAGGATTCCAGATACTCATATCATGTTCCATGCATTAGTTAACCACAGCACCTCATTCTACCCCATCACCAGACCGGGTGGAGAGCTGAATACAGAGGAAGATGAAGTGGAGGGACTCAAGCGCTTGTTGACGGAAACCCTCGGGCGACAGGACGGGCTCAAGCAGGAATGGGTCATAGAGGACATCATTGGTAACTGGTGGCGGCCAAATTTTGAGCCTCCACAGTACCCCTACATCCCCTCACACATCACCAAGCCAAAGGAACATAAAAAGCTCTTCCTCGTACAGCTTGGAGAGAAGGGTAAGGCCACAGTGTGTTATGAGAGCTGCTGCTGTTTATAATTTGTTTTTTATTTGTTTATTATTATTAATTAACTATTTTGCAAATGACCCTTTTTTTGCGTTGTTAAAATAGTTATATTTGATTCATTATTGGAAGAAAAAATTATGCAAATCTAGGAGGTTCCACTGTAAATTACCACATATATTTACAGATTGTTAAATTGCATTTTCCAGATTCTCATACTTCATTTTATTCACAGCATTGTTTGCAGTACCAAAGAACTACAAGTTAGTGGCAGCACCCTTGTTTGAACTCTATGACAACTCTCAGGGATATGGACCGATTATTTCCTCTTTGCCACAGTCATTGTGCAGGTTTGTGTTCTTGTAATTTTTAAAGTTTAAGTACGGTTGTATGAGTATCTGCTGGTTACAGTTATTGCCTTATGTCATATAATTGTGTATATAATATTTTCTTTTCCTAGTCTTAGTTTTTTTGATGAGTATCAGCTGTTGATAATTCTAATTAATGCTTGGAAAGTGTAGCACATCCATAAAAAAGCTGTGTTTTATTCCTATAATGTTCTTAATGTGTCATTTTTATAGAATGTAACATCTCTTTCTTTTGTATTTTCAGGTTCAACTTCACATATATGTAGATGTCAAGTATGAAAAGAGTGTGAATGACATTATGTATTTGTGGTTACAAGAAGAGGATATAGTGTGACTTTAGTTTCCTGTAAATGAAACAAGTGACGTGTTTTAAAGCATGTATAAAGAAAACAAGAAATGAAACAATATCTACTCCATGTTATTTTTGTATCATGACACAAATTGGATCAGCAATAAACTTGTCAAAAAAACTGCTGTCCAGTTAGATACAGTTCTCAAATGCCACCATATTTAGTGCAGGTAAATTGAGTAGCTTGCATCAAAGCTATCTACACATATGCAGCTTGGTTTTCTGTTTCTTTAACACCTTTACCTTTGAAATATTTTCAGACTGTATCTTCAAAGGTAGAATATACTGCACTTTACTATGTTCTGTTGCCCTAAAAAAAAAGATACCAACTTAATGTGGATGCAATTGTCTCTTTGAACTTGTACAATTTCTTCTATTATTTAATCCCTTCTTGAAGAGTGTGGCATGGTACAAATACAGGATATCAGAAGCAGCATTTTGATGACAAGACCTTTTGTCCAATGAGGAAATACATAGTGGTCTTTTGGCAAGTTTGTATGTGGAGAGATTTCTTCCTTTACTCCCTGAACACTTTTTTTTTCTATTATTCCTTTGAGGGAAACTCAGTCTAGTTCAAACTGTGTTGTCCAATTCAATTTTTTGTTCTTTTCTTAATCTTTGATTTTATTTTATCATAATATTTATCATTTCATAAAGTAGAAGGACTTGCATGTGAGGGAAGAAATTGAAAGGAATTCAAATCGGATTCAAACAAGATTTGTTCACATTGAACAGCAGGTGCAAAGTTCAAATTTTTGGATAAAGTCTTCTCCTTCACAATACAAATTTCATTTCTTTTTCTTTTACCTTTTTTTAAAAATATACTTTATACATCTTGCTGAAAGATATCTTGTATAAAAGTCGTATCAGTGTTGAAAAATAATGTTTAATATCATACAAGTTCATACACCCATTCCAGTCATACAGATCAGCTTTCAGAAAAATATGTATTTAAATGGAAATAAACCTTTTTCTTATGTGCTGTGAGTTTAACTCTAAATCCTAAGTATGTGATTGTAGTAATGGTAAAAAAATATATATGTAGATAGAAACGGATGCAGAATGGGAACATTACATCACAATGAAGGATGGTAAAAACTAAAGGGAACTTTTAAAATTTGCTGGTTTTATTTATGGCTAATGGTTAGAAGAAATGAATGTGCTGGACAAAGGTCATATAGCACTATGGTAAAGTATTGTGGCAAAAAGGGTGGAAATGAGTTAACTATCACGATAAGATGTGTTAGATGTCAAAGGTTGTAGAATGCTGTAGGATAGAATGGTAGTGAAAAGGAATACAGTGGGGTTTTGTAAAATGGGATGTGGTTAAGGTATAGGGTGATCAGATCAAATGGAGAATGTGTGTCTGAGGAAGGGAGAGTAACACTGTATGAGGAAAACTGCAAAAAGAGCTGTTGTGAAACAATCAAAGGGTAATATATGGTAAGAAACAATAGTTGTAGAAGTATGAGAATAATCCCGTTCTGTCCATTTATTCAAATTAACTCCTATTTACCCTTTTCACCACAATATTTTACCATATTGCTGTGTCACCTTTGATGTCTGGTACAATTGTTTTTGACCGCTGATCATTTTGGAAATTAACAAACATTGCTTTGCTTTGCCCCCAAACCTTACCCTATCACTATGTTTTGTATATGCTACTAATGACCTTTAATGTTGATATGGCAGAAAATGTTCAATAAATGAATAAAATTGAGGAGGATGGATATTGCCAGATACTTTGAGTGTAGAGTGAATAGAAATAAAGAGATTAGAGGGAGTGGATCATTCTCCTTAGTCATGTTTAGGAAGGTTTGGATATCTTAAAGAGTTTCTGGAGGGGAGTTGGTGGGGAGGTCTGAGAAACAAAGGTTTTCTTATATGGAGAAGAGGGAATAGATGTCTGAGAAACAGAGGTAGAGGTGGGTGTAGGAGAGGACGTAGTAGAAAATGGAGTGGAGTGTTTAGATTGTCTGGTGCAACAGGTTGAGTGAGGAGGAGGAAGGGTAGGCACTTGAGAAGTTTTAAAGATGGGAGTTCTGGATTTAGACTGGAAAAGGAATTTGACTGGGGAGTAGAGATAGGATGGATTAGGGTAGAGGGAAGAGATTCTGAGATGGGAGGGGAGCAGAGGGAAGTACAGTTTTCAAAGATCTAAAGAGAAAAACCTTGCTTGTCTGGCCTCATATAAAATAAGGCCTAGCTTGAATCTAAGAACTAGTACCTCACATAGACAGCAGCACCTATAAAATACATTATAGGAACCACCATAATTAGCACACCTGTGTGACCGAGCAGAGCAATTTGAATGGTAATGACAAGGTTGGGCTGGGTGGCCAAAATGCCAACATTTCTGATATTAACAGGGAAGAGGTCGATATGATCAGACAGGGCAGGACATTTCACCAATAGGAGGTCAAATCTACAGAAGCTAATCTTGGCATTATTGCTGTAGGACTTGTGTTACCTCTGGGAGGAATAGTGTAGCACTGGACTGCCACTGCATCATAGTTGATGAGGCATGCAAGCAAGTTTTCACAGTCTGCCAGTCCTTGCCGTAGACAGGACAATCAGTCGGTACTGGAACTGGTCCGGTTCAAATATTATGGGAGGAGTGAGGTTGGGCAGGAATACGTTTGCCAGTGAGGTCAGTCAGGGTAGACAGTGCATGAGCTTGGGACTTGTGAATGATCAGAACGACTGTGAAAGGAAACTTTGCCTATCTGTTTTTGAAGACATTGTTGGAAGAGAAGGGTATTATAGGCTGCAGGGGGAATCACAAAGAATCGATCCCAATTGGCCGGGCCAAAAAGGGTACTCAAAAGGTCTGCAGAGGTGGAAGCAATAGAAGGATGAGAGCGGGAGGTATGGAAAAAGGTTGTACTGTTGGGGGGTGTTAATATCGGTGTTCGGAGCCGTGGTCAAAGGAGAGGCAGGGGTCAGGAAACCAACAAAATCAAATTTTAGATAGGCTAGTTGATGAAGGGTAAAATCATTGGCCATGGTGAGCCTGAAATAAATGGGGAGAGGAAACAGTTTACCCCATAGGTTCCCCATGAGGGGGTAAGAGCTGGGTGATTAACCAAGGGAATACTGTGCCCATGGCTCATGGAGGCCATTCATAACTGACACAGTCATCCTTCCATCCTTTCAGCACTGGGCCCCAGTCTGTCTCCTGAGTCCCCCACAACAAGTAAGGGATTAGGGGGGTATTTTTATTTATTTGTTTTGCAATGTCTTCTGTTCTTACCTTATGCTCACCTATTGATAAGGCCAGATTTTTTTATATATAGCAAAAATGAGTGAGTGAAAGTGGGGGTTCAGAGCAATATTTTTGAGCAATGAGGCATGGGTATGGTTTATTTTCTTGAATAGTGTATGAACCCCTTTTTCTTCCATTTTAAACTAGTATATGTGGTGTGTCACCAAAGTTGTGTGAAAAAAATAAAAATATGTCATTGAGCTATATATCCATACACAGAAAACTAGAAATTAAGCCAAGTGCTGTAATAGCCACAGCATTTCAGAATAAAATGGGCCCTAACCCATTATGTTATGGTTAAAATTAATCTAGATACAACACTGCAATCATACAATGACCAATAGTTGGTAACTCAAAGTGGATAATGGTTAATGGTTATAAATCAAAATAAATGTACTAAGTGGTGAAGAGGAGGGTTAGTTATGTGATTAAATGTGCTACATGTTAAAAGTCATATGGAAGTTCAGTGTAGTATGGTTTTGAAAGGGGCAAAGAGGAGTAAGGACAGAGAAAGAGAGAGAGTAAATGGCCCAAGAAAGGAATTAACTAGAGAAGCAACACCCCCAACCCCATGCTTCTTCTTGTCGGGGGGGGCTTGGAAGATGGGGACTGAGGCCCAATGTAGGGGAGTGCCCCTATCTTGGTCCTCAGCCCTCACCTCAACTAATTTTGCATATATGCATATATATATCTATATATCTATCTATATATCTATCTATCTATATATATATATATATATATATATATATATATATATATATATATATATATATATATATATATAAATATATATATATATAAATATATATATATATAAAAATATATATATATAAAAATATATATATATATAAATATATATATATATATATATATAATATATATATATATATATATATATATATATATATATATATATATATATATATATATATATATATATATATATATATATATATATATATACTGAAAGAACCTCCTTAAAGAATATTTGGTAGCTCTTGATAAGCTCTGGAAATAATTTAGTGATTCAAAGATAATCAGTTTTTGGCAGACTGTCCTTTTAATGGCTGGAATGCAAACATTTCAGAAATTCCAATGTTGTGTCAGATTACATCAGGATTCATCTTCAAACAGGAATGAGTGATTCAGACGGACCACTTCCAACCCATAGCATGTCCAACCAGGCAACAAACTCCTGCAAAATAGTTCCAAACACCTTGGTTCGGGTGATGAAAATCTCTTCAGAAGTTCTGAAAAAAAGATAAATAATTATCAGGGTGGAAAAGAGAGAGGATATTGTTTTTTTTTCAAATCAAATTGTTTTTATTAAAATCAGATTTTAATTTTTTCATTATATTACTACTTTTTCTTCTGAAGTTTTAAAATTTGGAGAAGTATGTATGACAAATTTTTAAGCATTTAAATCTAAGAACAGGTAATTGCACTATTTTGTGATTCTTTTTACACATACTGAAGATGACCCCACAAGCACTTACTCACCACAGAGTTAGTTACAATGGTAGGTCCACCTGACCTCACTTGATATCCCCATTCCTTGAATTTTCTCTTTTCTTCTAATGCTATTAAAATCATTCCTGTTATTATTAACACTGGGATTACTATAATGTTATCAATGGTAAAAGGCTATGGGAAAAAATCTCTATAAGAATCAAGAAAGAGGGTAAAGAGGTGAGATCAAGTAGGACTAGTGACTGACTCTTGGTAAAAAAAAAAAGGCTCTTGTGAAACCATATGTGTACACAAAATTAACAAACTAAAGCCACAAGTGGACTTGGCATATACTTATGCCATCCCCATATCAGTAGGTTAAGATCTTGGTTGTATTTCTAACATCTGGTCTTGGGTATCCTCTCAATATAAAAGAACAGTTCTTCACTTTGGCATTGTGTACATAGATTGAGATACTCACAAAAAATTATCATTATTATACCCATTATAATACTGCCAGCACTGATGTATGGTTGAAATTCTTTTTTAAATTCAAGAGTTGTGAGGAGTTAATACTTTAGTCTTGAGCTGTTGCTGTTATTCATGATCTGATAACATTTTGAAAAGACTAACTTTTTTGTATTTGTTAACTTTGTTAGTAACTGTTAAAGAATAATATGGGGTTTACTAATTCTCAATCCTCAGTTTTTTATGAGAAAATTGAGAATTCATAACGTGGATCTAGTACACAGAGTTAGTGGACCGAGTTTTGAATAAGTCAGTCATATTGGGACCTAATATCTGCAATCATTGTGGACATCAAAAACAAGGAATCACTGCAACTACATTGCTGTGACACAATCTGGTCAGAATGGGCTCACTACTTTGGCCAATGAGGGATATCCTTATGATCAAGTGGTCAGAATAAAACCACAATATTATACTGAAAAATTAACAATACTATCATATGAGATACTGAAACGACACTTGCTACAATTGAAATTAACCCCTGTGATCCCAATGGTGTGACCATGATGTCATGAAAAAAATTGGCTTGGGTGACATGAACAAGTTGTCATGAGAAAATTGAGCTGTGGGTTGGGGTATTGTGCACAAACCTCTTAGAGGGTGATTAGACTCATTTGGCATTTAGGAAGAGGTTTTTGCATTATTGCCATTGATAAATGAGTGTGGAATGTATTTTGTATTTTATTGACATTCTAAGCTCTGAATTCTTCCTACTGAAATTTTATTAGTGGTTTATAATGTGGAGATTCAATATAAATTTAAAAATCAAACTCTATACAAGTTTACCTTTAATATACTCTGAGCTTTGATTCTTGCAATTTTTAACAGACTGACTGTAAATATCACAAAAATTTTGATAGGTTTAGCAAAGCAGACAGATATACTGAAGCCAAACACAACTTTTCCATGGGACTATGGTCAGGCATAAAATTAGCCTACATGCAACTGACTCTACAATTGTTTTCAATAAATTTATTTATATATTATCAACATAACACCTAGCCATTATCATTTAAATTTTTTTGTTTCCAGCATTTTGGGAGACATCAAATCACAAGAAGTGGATTGAGAAATTGCAGAATTTTGCTT